AGCAGTTTTTTAAAGCAAGTAGGGTTGTTCTAACCTGAACTCTAACAACTTCTTCCCTAGACCTTATAGAAACACCAATTCATGTATACCTTGCGTTTTAATCTAAGAGTTCAAATATATGAAAAAAAAATAGGTTTCCTCACCTGCATTCCCTGAATGCCTGCCAGATACTCCAGCTGTTTGGAAGGCTGGACAGAGGATGTGGTGCAAGTCTTGTTGTTCCCTGCAAATCCTATAGCCTCTGCAGTAGGGGAGCTTCCATTGGTCAGGAGCTCCCTGGCAATTGCAGCACTGCAACTTTGGCCTACTGGAGTGCTAAAATATGAGCTGGATGGTGGGCTCAACTCTTTGGAGGACAAATAGTTGACAGAAGGAGCAGGTACAGTTTTACTGCGGCTGGCTTCCATTTCTTGGTAGACGTCAGGTGAGAGATGAAGAATTCCCTTGGGAGCTAAAGAAAAGACATAGCTGTAAATATTGCAATAACATCACTATTTCATAAAAATATGACAACTGTGTTCTCTGCAAAAATCAGTTAAAACCTGTAAAGACCATATATTAAACATTAGCAGATATTTAATTAAATAAATAATAATAAATGCATTAGTTAAAAGAAACCTGAACTAAGCAAAAAAAAAAAAACACTTTGCTGTGAACATTGACCTCTTGTCATGCTTACCCTCTGATTTTGAAACTGAGTCACTAAGAACAAGTTTGCTGATGAGGACTTCTGTCTTTCTCAATTTTTTTTATTTGCATACTTGTGCCTGGTCAGTAAGGCAGAATGAAATAAAATCAGTAGGTCAGAACAGCAGTCAGGCAACCAGCATTTTCAGGAGGAGGTCAGCAATGGCAGCCAACACATTTCCATATAGCACAGGTTTGCTGTAACTTAAGACTGAAGGGGTATTTCACGAAAGGATGAAGAGTTTGGAGAAGGCAGGAGAAGTGAACAATCTAGGACAACATAGCTGAACTGGAAAGTGAGCTGAATTGGAGACTTTTTCCAAATCGGCTATTTTGGCCTAGATTGCCTAGATTGTTCACTTCTTCACCGTTTTTGTGATTAACCCTGTTAGTTACAATGCCTTGGTGGAAGTTCCATCCTCCTAACTGTTCCTCTACAAAGTCTCAGTCTGGGTTGCTGTATAAATTGGGAGAAAGTTTCCAAATCAACTATTTTGTCCTAGATTATTTACTTCTCTTGCCTTCTACAAACTCTTCACCCTTCTGTGAATAAACCCCGAAGTCTTGGATAAATCAAAGTAATACAGAAAATAATTTACTCTGAAAAACACATGCAAGTTGGATATACTATCTAAAAGCATAGAACCTGCCTTTACTGAAGGTTGCCTTTGGCCAAATAAAGACTACATCCACAATATGTATGTTTCCCTATTTTGCCTAAGGCGGTGATGCTGAACATTTTTTAAACCCCAGTGCCCAAACTAAAACACATTACCAAACATATTTTAAGTGTTGGCACTTTGAGATAAATAAATTGTTTTTGCGACGCAGTTTGGGCACTCTGGCTCAAAAATGTTCACCATCACTGGTGTAGGTGATAGTCAGATACTGTAATTACTGAAATGGTCATACATTACAGACCAAATTTAAGTAACAACACTGAAGAACTTGCATGCACCTTTGATGAGCTAATAGTTCCTATTATGCAAGCCTCAGTACAAAACGAAAAGACCTGCAGTGGGTGACCAAGCCGTATAGCCTAAATGCAGTGAAGAAAAGAAAGGTCAGCAAACCAGACAAGCAGTCAGGCTGGGGACCTAAATCAAAAGAGTGTATGAGCAGAATTACAAACATTTTTGAATAGAAGACTGTTTGCAAAACATATAAGTACTTCTCTGTATTTCATCAAGCTGTATTTTTGTTGTTCGGCTTTGAAACAACCCCTTTTACCCCAATGTTTACAGAAACTGCTGCCTTGTATGAACTAGGATCCAGTTATTCTCACATTGGGCTCCATCATCATATTTCACCCACAGCGTACATGAGGTGAAGTCAGCACATTAAAGACAACGCTTCATATGTCATTGGCCAAGGAGAGTAGTTAGAAATGGAAATGATGGCTTGCTGGTGAAGAAAAACCTGCATATCATTCATGATTTAGACCACCCATTTTGCAGAAATATAACACTATATTGACATGCTTTGAGGATGGAAAAGTTCACTTTAAAGCCCAGAGGAGGCTTGAAAGATTTTTGTCCAAAAGGATGTTGCTTTTAGGGGTTAAAGCACTAGAGATGACTAAGCACCCGTATGGAACAGAATCCTCTGTAAAGTTTAAACGGGGAGGGTACAGACTTGCATAATGAAGAAAACAAGCATGGTAAACCATTGTTAAGAAGAGAAACAGTCTGCGATGGACCTCAATGAAAGGCCTCCATGTGAACAACTGTGATTGATTGTACACATTGCAAAGTGTTTAATAAAGTCAATACTAGGGAGCAGATGTGTGTCTGTTTGATGTATTAATGACGAAAAACAAACATTAGGCATTGGCCTTGCAGCACTTTCCGTGGTTTTGTGTGATCCGCCCAAGCATCAAACTGATGTCTAGTACATGGACTTGGATAAGATTCAGACACACATAAAAAAAAAGTATATCCTGTGGACTGCATTGTTGGGCAATATCATTTGAGTATGACATGTGTAATTAAAAGCATGCTTTGTTTACAAAAAGTGAAATTCCTTTTATAAGAGTTGTTTTAAGTCATTTTAACATTGCTGCCCACTATAAAGCCATGTTCCAAATAAAGGCTTGCCATTTGCTTTGCATGCTTAGTTACATTTTGAATAGAACCATATGGGACCACCAGTACAGGCTACCCAAGGATACTGGGACTCGCCTTGCTAGCTGATCACTGCCACTGAAAGTACGTAATAGAAAAGTAAAGCAACTGCAGAAGCAGCATCCTATGAAAGGGTTAGTCCACCCAAAACTGAAACATGTCTTTAGTAAAGACTGAGGACTTAAATTAACTAAAGTAAATTTTATTTATATGACTCAAAGGATCCTGTCTCAATTTAACTAACTTGTATAGCACAAATTCCACAACAAGGTCACTGAACAAATTACAATGGTCCCTGAGCAGAAGCAGCTCACAATCTTATTTACTATCACATTCAGACATACACAGGAACAGTTGATCCAGTTTTGGATGGAGGCCAGTTAACCAGGATGTGTTTGGGTTGTAAGGGGAAATTCATCCAACGCAAAAAAGAAAATCCAAAAAATAGGGGGGAGAACATGCTAATGTGGACCAAACAGACATGCAAGTAAAGATAAGTTTAAAAACCCCAGAGTGGCATCTCATTAACCAAATCAGCCATTGCAGATAGAGTACCTCGAGGATGGAATCACACCTAAGCAATTTAACTTGTTTGCGTTTCCAATTAAATCAATGGCAATGCATGAAAACCCAATGTTTGCTTGACCGCAATATAAAATGCATGTCCCCAACAACCCAGCTGTGAATGCAGCTTTCACTAAAATAGAAAAACTAAAAGCTCCTCCAAAACACAAGATTTCATACTTACCTGTTCCAGCAGTAGTTTGCAGCAGTAACACCACCCGAAGAATCTTCTGGGTGGGCTGGATGCCTGTGTCCCTCACTATGATCGATGGTTCCTCCACGGTTGGCTCCTACGTCATTACAGGACAAAAGTAATAATGTAGGGGCCAGCAGAAGGAACCATCAAATATGACGGGGGAAACAGGTATCTGACACACCCAGATCCGGCAGTTTTGAAGAATCTTTCAGTGGCTTAGAACTGCACAAAGAGATTTTGTTGTACATAAATATTTATATTCACTAAGATGGATTAATTATTTTAAATTTCATGATCATTTTCTCCAGGGCATATTCCAATTTATAAACATGAAAACCCTATATAGGCGAGGAATTTTTTTTATGCATTATGTAAGTGTCTGGCTGTCGAAAGACTAATTTTTCATAAATCATTTTATCTCACAAAGCATTTTTATTACCAAGACAAACAACTCCTAAGTCTTCTCTCCACAAAGAATAAAATTGGAAATATTAACAACCACTTACAAAGCCATTCACAACTCTGTCCCAGGCTATATCGCCAACCTTGTCTCAAAGTATTACCCTAACTGCCTGCTCGACTCTTCCAAAGACCTCCTGCTATCTAGCTCTATCATCAACTCCTCCCATGCTTGCCTCCAGGACTTCTCTAGAGTCTCTCCCATCCTCTGGAACTCTTTACCCCAACCTGTCCATCTATCTCCTACTGTGTCTGCTTTTAGACGATCCCTAAAGACTCATCTCTCCAGTAAAGCCTATCCTGCCTTAACCTAACCACTGAACTATCACGATCTCAAACAATTCATCCCCACACAGCTACCTCCTCATGTATCACTTGCCCCACCCTCACAGCTACCTTTTTATGTATCACTTGCCCCTCCTTTTTAAATTGTAAGCTCTCATGGGCAGGGCCCTCCTAACCACCTCGTTTTGAATTGTATTGTAATGTCTTCCTTATATTGTAAAGCGCTGCACAAACAGTTGGCGCTATATAAATTCAGAGTTAGGACTTACCGGTAACTCTATTTCCATTAGTCTTCCAGGACAGCATCACAGCATCACGAGATGGAATCTACTTGAATAATTAGAATACTAATAATAATAATAGTCGTCACCTCACTAAAAGTCACAGCCAAAATACCTTTAAAAAGCATTAAAATCCAGTTTAGCTGGCCCGTGCACTAAATGCTGTTCTAGTTAACCGATATACCTATTTTAAAATGTAAAAAATGCTTTCATGCTTTTTCAAATTGTACCTTAGATATTTCATACACTCACAGGACATAGTCGTCCATATACACACAAAAAAAGAAAAAAAATAGCATTTATCTACAGCAGACATCTTAAAAATGTCAACAAAAGCTTATTTATTTGACAAAAGTTTGTCTGATGCTAGGAAACACCTTCACAAACAGAGTGATCAGTGTGCAGATATTCAGCTGATAAAACATTGGAAAGCCTATCAAAGCGCGAACAAAAAAAGCAATCTCCCCCTGCAGGTACAATACACATCTTCACCCTGGGAGGAGGAACAGATTCAAAGGGTGTCACCACAATTTGGTGTTCATTATGCAACCCATGATGCACCCTGCTATGCACATGAATTTGTGCAACAGCTCTGCAAAGGATTAACTGGAAATCTACATGGCATATCAAAGACGGAACACTACCATGCCGTGAAGGCTGGTCTCTAACCACGGGGCTCGCTTAAAACATTTTATTGCTATACTACTGTGAAAAGAACATTTAGAATAAAGGCCAGCTTTTGTTCTTTCACATAGGAATTAAGCAAAAATCATTAAGGGCTGATTTACACCACATTTGCATATATCTACTGATTGCTAGCAGTAGATATATGCAAAAAAAAACGCAAGGGTTTAAT